ATGTCAAACTAACCAATTATGAAACTTGGTTGATTCATAATTGGTGACCATATTATGCTTTATTATGTGAAACCCTTTGAACTGTTGCTGAAATGTGCTACACAGATAAACTTTTCTTAAAACGTGCTGTTGATTCCGAATCGTCCCCCATCACTCAAGTCATTATAAACATTAAAACAGAGTTTAATCATTACTTCATCTACTGCTGAGGCCATTTCAGTCAGATTGAATCAAAAGGATCTGTCTTGAATCTACCTCTTAATTACTTTGAGTGCCACTGTGGCATTTCAACATATCAGCATCAGCAAACTTAGCATAATGAGCTTTGTGGCCCTGAATTTCAGAAACAGCAGCAGGTCCCTCATCATGTCCAGCTTATAGTGCCGAGGATGTGAGCTCCGGTTGGCAATTAAGGTTTTCAGATTTCAGCAACTCTTGTATGATGAGACGCTGGTTAAGCTAATCCTCAATCCACTTTACTTGCATGGGCTCAGGCTTCTTTGTATCAGAGAGAAAAGGAGAGATAAAAAATGAGAAAAGGATGGTGTAAGTAAAGAAAGGGAAGTCGAAAACTGCACTGAAGGTAGAGAGGACAGTAAGGAGAGGACAGAAAGGGAAAGAGGATGAATAATCCTGGAAATTAAGAATTTTGTCAAGAATTTTTTATGATAAAAATATGGAAAAAAGAAGTTTCTTGCATATTTTTTACAAAAAGAAAGTTTCTTTTAGCAAACTGAGCAAAGAACAAACTGACCTTGGTTTACCTGCAGACTTTGACTCATCAAACATTGTTCTTATCTCAGGTAGCAAGCTGCAACCTGAACTAAATAACAACAAAAAAAGGCTCAGAAAAAGCATTAGAAAATTTTTTAAAAAGTTTTAGAAAACATGTGAAGTTATCTTTGAAGCTGCAGTTGGTAAGTTTGATCAAAAATAATAAATAAATGAATTAGTTCCTTTGTCTTTTCCCAGTGCTCCCAGTACTAAGTGTAGAAATAAACCACTCCAGCCAGAAACAACCAATCACAGTCAAGAGGAGGGGCTTAGTGCTGTCAATCATTCCCATTCTGATCCCTCTCCCCTGCAACATAGCCTGACATGAATGCTAACGCTAGTTATCGTTAGCACATTGAGCAGTGAGTACATGATATTGATTGACAGCGTTAAGATCCTCGTCCTTTAAATCTTGACCTGGTTAGAGTTGTATTTGAAACAATCAATTATGAATTTAATGACGGCACTTGACTTAATGTAATGTTTTGATAGTTGATTCTATGTTGCATGACTCTGTGTTTTTGTGTTTGTTATGATGTAAAGCACTTTGAAATGCCTTGCTGCTAAAATGTGCTATACAACTAAAATTTGATTGATTTGATTGATTGTCCTGGCTCTGATTGGTTGTTTTTGGTTGGGAGTGGCAATAACAGCTCGGGGAAGAGATGGAGAACAACAATCTTTTCAGAGATTATCTGTCTTATATTGAAATGTCACAATATGGTGATAGTTTGGGCAAATATCTAAAAACATATTTTGTAGAAGTTACATTTTGCAGCTTTATCTCATAGATAAATGAGTTGCTGTAAAGAGGATTGTGTAAACTCATGGTTAAAAAGAAACTTTTTTTCAAGTAATATCAACATTTCCTCACTGACATTTTCCTTTAGTTCAAGCTCACATTGTTTCTTCATTCATAATGAGATGCAGCTGCGCAGCCTTTAATGGGAAAAATGCCCCAGACATAAAAAAATAATCTCTCTCCTCCTGCTGTATCATCTCCGTGAGAGGACTCGCTATTATCATCATCTCCCCAGACACAGATCCCGACAAGTGATCTGTACGTGCATTAGTCATCCTGACACAAAAGTACATTATTCATCTTTTGGTCACTGCTCCTCTCTGGCCTGCTGTAGCACAGGACAGCAAAGGGGAAGCTAATTGATTGTATTGGTTCATTTATATATTTTTGGTTTGAAACTCTGCATCTTTAGGCAGGTCATCACATCAAACACGTTCCTCAATTTTTAACGGAAGTATTTAGCCTGGAAGGACACACCTAATTCAAAGGGCAAACATATTATGACCAACAGGTGACATTTGAGTGTGAACAGTAGATGAGCATCAAAGGCACTAATGCAGGTTTATTACAGCTTTAGCACTGCTGTGATCACTACTGGAGGTCAGCTCTGGATGTTAGCCCTCTATTAGCATTTCAAAGGGACTTGCAACTTTTCGTTCTCACCTGATGAGCTGATTATTCATGGTAACAAACCAATGTCAGCAGATTAAAAGTTTAAGAGGTTCTGCTAAAATTGAAGAAAATAGATGCTAAAATGTTGCCACTGTTTATGTACAAAAAATTAAAAAAAGTCTCAGCAATACAACATTAGTTTACTCTCCAGGAATCTAAAAAAAAAAAGATTCTGCATGATGGAAATCAGTTTTTAATTCATGTATTTTATATTCTGAAAATATTGGAATTAAATAATACTTACAGGTTTGTGAGATTTTAATTCTTACATGTCAGTCATTAGTAGATATGTTTAGTTCTTACCTGACGTGTGACAAAAGAAACACCTGAGGAGCCAAAGAAACAGGAATTTAGCCTGAAGGTTCAGCTCTTCTAACAACAATGCTTATACTGTAAGCTAACTGACCCTTCATAGAGGAGGATTTTTCTGCATAAATAAGAATGAAACCACTAAAAAGAGGGGAAAGCCTCTTCAGCCCAGAAGCTATTCATGTCAATACCAAATTAGCATCGAATAATGCCGTCCGTTTCCCCTTTCACTTTGCAGGCAGCAGGGCAGCAGCGGCCTGCAGAGATGCTGTGATGTAGCGGGGGCTAGGGTAGGGGGGGCGACTCTATAGCGCTTCATATCCTGCCAGGGAGAGATTCAATTAAAGCATTACTGATGCAGAAGAGGGTAGAGTCGCTTGTTGAATCAGGGGCTTAGTTTGACCTGATGGATGTGTTGGCTGGGCACCAATATGAAGTTGTAGGAGCTGCAAAGTGTCATTGTTAGTGCATTACCTATTGCCTTAATTATACAAATGACAGGAAGCATGCGTTTTGAGCTATGACTCAAACATCGGAGGTTTTGGCAACTTATTCTCTTGAATCTGTACGCGAATATGTATTAGATTAGGTTTTGTAAAGAAGCATCAGAAAATCTTATTATTGCAACATATTAGAAAGAAGTGTTATTCATAAATTCAACATTTGATTTTAATTCATACTTTATTGATCTATCATGTACGACGGCATAGTAGATAGAAAAAAAGAGCAAATTTCTGAGAAAAAAAACCTCAAATAGTTTTTGAGTTTGAGAAGCTGAAAATCTGCTAGAAAAAAACTAAAAACATTTTTTGATTAATCTCAGAAATTTTTGAGAAAGATTTTGAAATTTCTGAGTATAAAAAGTCAAACGCTTTAGAAATTTACTGAGTTTCAAAAGCCAAAAATGTAAAACTTTTGAAATTCAGAAATTTTGTAGAAAATATCTGAATTTTTATAGCAAACTTCAACTCTTCAAACTTAGAACTTTTCAAGTTTTTTTTAGAAAACGTCTGTGATTAATACTAAAATCTTTCTAGCAAATTTTAAAGTTTTCAAACCCAGAAATGTTTCTCAGATTTTTTTTGGTGGAAATCTACTGCAATTTTCTTTCAATCTACAATAGCCCCAATATGTTGTCACATTTATGAAGCTATTTTTGATTAAATATAACCAGCACAATAAGATAACAGTTAAAATTCTCTAATTAGGCTGAAAACAACAGATGAGGGCTTTAAGAGATTTGTTGCACTCTGTTGCAACATCAACATGAAACATTTTTTGCATTTCAGTCTATCGTCAGATTGGAAAGCATGGAGCATCTTTTAGCAATGGTTATTATTTCTTGCTCCGTGTTCTCTTGTTGAGCCCACCTGATGTTCATTCACTGCCAGGACGTCTAGCAGAGATTTGCTAGCTAAAGAGATGTGTGGCGTTTCTTCAGCACCTGCTACGTCTTAACCAGAAACCTGATCGTCGGCAGGTACAAGAATAGCTCTGCCAGACCTTAAAGGCCCCTCATCTGGCCCTCCATAAACTGCTCCTGATCTTCTGTTCCTGCTCAGAGGAAATACTCTGCACCTTGTTTTTGTTTAAAGTAACATCCTGAGCTTAGGCAGCCTTGAAAAGCCTTAACACAGATTCATATTTTATTGGAGTAGCATAACCTTACACTGAAATAAGAAGAAAGCCTTTACTTGAAATAAATTTGAAAAGATAGAGTCTCACATTACTAAAGACATGTTTTAAGTAATCACCGGTAGAATATAGAATAAAGATCAAATCTTAAACTTTTTTTGATAAGAGTTAAAGGGGGCGGATACATACAAAATATTAATAATGTTGCTTCCAATTCAGCATTAGTTTCAGACTGATACTATAGAGTGAAAAGATCAATACTTTGGTTTCAGATTCCCTCTTGAAATTTTATTTCTTGTGTTATAGTTCCTTAAACTCTACTGTTAAAAATGTTGCTTAGATTTTTTTTCTCAAATTATAATTGCTTGCACTTTATTAAGAAAACACTGCACAAAAGATTATTTTGTTTTTATAGTTTCCTTGTTTTCTTGGCCTCTCTTGAAATTGGGAAACATGAGGAAACATATCATGTAAGACAGAAAAATACAGTCTTGTGTAAACGAGACACTATGTACAGTCAGATCAACACAGCAAAAGTGTAAAAGAACTGGAACTGTGATAACCCTAACCCAAAGGAGGTTCAAATCATGCCCCTATTCATTGTCAAGAGGATGAGAAAGGAGATAAAAATATCTTTAAAAAAAATCACAGCATAAGGTCTGCAACACAGAAAGACATCTTGGTGGCACTAAGTCTCCATAGCAACCATAGCATACTATCTACATGCTAACCACTTGAATGAGAAGCATGTCTAGAAAGTTATTTTCTCGCTTACTATCACAAACATGACTGTGTGTGTTTTTTTTAGGATCTAATTGGAATAACCTGCTGTGATGAGATGAGATCAAGATGGAGCTTTTCAGTAACTTTCCAGGTGGGTCTGGTTTTAAAGTATGTCATAAAATACTTTCTTTTATATATATACATATACATATATATATATATATATATATATATATGAACTGTACTGTCATTTCCAATATCTATCTATCTATCTATTAGAAATGTGAGTTAATGAAAAATGTTCAGTATCTATAAAATTAAATATGTTTATATTAGTTTTCATCATTAGCAGAAATAAAATATCAATATGTGTATATGCTCATATTTATATAGTACGAAAATATGAGAAAACTGGTTTTGATTGAATTGATTTTATAATTATTGAGACCTAGTTAAACAAACCATTTTCTTTAACTTTTCCCATTTTCTCTAACTGTTTTATTTTTTTCTTTTCTTTTTTAGTTCTCATAGATTTTTTTTTTAAACAATAATTTCTACCAATATAGTAAAGCTAGTATTTTCTTTCCACCTCCCTTTATTCCCACATTTCCTCATGTCCACCTGTACAACATCCACCTTGCATCTTGATCATACTTGGTAGCGGGCTGAGCCTGGTAGAGCTGTCCGGAGAACATCCACCCCTGTGCGGCCAGCAGGAGGGGCCGTGCTGAGGTGTTCGAAAAGCCGTAAAAGCTGCTGGTGTGTCGCAAACCAGGTGTTTTTTGCTAAGGTGGGGGAAGGGACGGGAGGGGGGTGAGGAAGGGTGAGTAGGAGGGAGGCGGGTGAGGGAGGAGGTAACTCGCGGAACGGCTGCGCTTCAGACCCAGCGAGAGGATCATGGCGGATGGCCCCAGGTGTAAGCGCAGAAAACAGGCGAACCCGAGGAGGAGCAGCGGTAAGTCCAAAGTCCACTCAAACCGCCTTTAGGGGGACCGGACGGGCTGTCCGGGAGCTTTCTCGCTCGTTAAAGTCCTCCCGGAGACTTTTGGGAGCGAGTTGGAGGTAATTTCGGGGACTTTTTGACGGGCGAATGAGTGCGGTGGTGTACCGTTATACCTGGCTGGGCTCTCTCTGCTCTCCGCCTAGCGGTGCTCTGGGGCCGCCTGGCCGTTAGAGAACCGTTATCCGCCTGTTAGAATAACCCGAGGAGCGCTTCGTTCTCGGATGTATCCTCCACTTTCCTTCACTTTTTGTCACCCATCTTTGCTCCTGGTGCTCCTTTTTAGCACTTTCTCGCCGATCAGCAACACTTGGCGGCAGGTTGAGGGGCTTTCACGTAACAACGTGGCCCGCTGCAGTTTAGTGATTTTTAGGGCGAGGTTGTTGCGGGGTTAGTTGCAATGCTAACTTGCTGCCACCTCGGGCCGGACAGAAGCTTTCTCCTCTCTTCCCGTTCAAAATGATTGAACTTCGTCTTGTGTTGCTTTTATGGCCGCATGGTAAATTGAGAAAGCAGGAGTTCGTGCTGTGTTCAGTGCAGTTGGATTGTTTATTCTATGTCCTCTTCACCCCGCCTTGCTTGCCACAACTGCAGCAACACATGTTGGCTTTGTTGAGGTAAGAGTTGAAACTATAATAGCTGTTGTTTAAAAGGCGACATTTTTAGTTCTCTGCTCTGTGCACCTGCAAACTGTAAGGAAAGCTGGATTTTAGCCTCTTTAAGTGGTTCAAGAAAGTTTATGTCACTAAATGCATTCTGATTCAGTTTCACCTGTCTTTTTTTTAATTATGAAATCCTTAGTGCACATGGCATGGTTATTACTAGTTCATGACAGATTGGAGTACAATTTTCTTGATATTACACATTTAATTAGGCAAAACACACAGAAGTACAGTTATTGCAATTTTAATATTTATTATGCCTTTGTAATTTCATTAATCATACAGACTTTATAGTAGACTTTTCCCCAAAAAGGTTGTACAAGTGCATTTTAATAAGGTAGAATGTCATTAAAACTTTATTTATTTCAGCAATTAAATACAAAAAAATGTTGTTTTATTATTCATGAAATGTTGTATATCAAATTATTTTGATAGTTTTGATGCTTTTACAGCTCATAAACAGTCAATCATTTAGTTTCTCTGAAAATTTGCATATTACATAAAACTGATACAGAAGAGTGTGTGGTTAAAACAGTTGACAACTATAGCATTGTTTTTGATTTAAAACAATAATTCATTTTAAAAATTCAATTCAAATACTGAAGATTTATTACATTTATTTTGATCATTTTGATGATTATGATTTTTAGCTAATAATAACTCATATTTCAGTTTCTCAGAGAAGATAATGTTACATAAGATCAATAAAACAAGTATTATTCATACAGAAAAGTTATGTTATGTGCATGTTAGGGCCTACAACACAATCAAGGAACTGTTGACTTGACAGTTATTCAGCTGCCACTGACACTGATAAGGAGGGTAGGCAACAAAACGTCATTGATAAAGAAACTGGACTGCACTCTGATTGCCTTCCCCAAAGATATTAGTGGAAAGTTTAGTGGAAGAAAAAAATGTAAGAAAAGAAGGTGTATGAGACATTGGGATGGGCAGTTATTGTACATATCATTATCGTGGAAATGAGAAAAATTATGGCAATGATAAAATAATCCATAATGCTTGATCAACTTTCAGACTCACAAAACTTTGATTGGGATTGTTACATTTGCAGTTTGAACTATCCGTTTTCCAATTTTAGTGACATGAAAGCACCTATTGAATAATTACATTTAACAATATGATCTAATGCAACAATTGTGCATTCAATAGCCTACTGAATATGGCAAGTTCACTTTTAGAGCGGTATTTGTGTTTGCTGCACTCAGGCTGTTTGTAGAGACAGAAGAATAAACAAAAAGACAATCATGATGGTAATACATTTTCAAACACTTCTTCCACTTTGACTGTGATCACAATAAATTCCACAAATTATCATAAGACTTTGTTGTCCATATTTCTGATCTGTCCATTTTGTTTTAAAAAATATATATTTTTAATTATTTTATATGGGCTTAATGTAATTGTCTGACAAACTGAATTTTGAGTTTCAATTAGATGTGGCCTATAATCATCAAAATTAACAGAAGTAAGCATCAGAACTATATCGCTCTGTGTAATAAAGCTGTGTTCTTAAGTTTATTTACTAAACTTAATTTTCTTTTCAGTTATGTTTTAAGTTACTGAGAAGCATCAGTTTTTAGGTTTTTGTAACTACATGGTCAGAGCCCAAAGTGTCAGGCATTTTTAAGTTTCTCAAGGTGTGACCTCAACTAATCAAGTGTTTATGATGTTGTGTGAAAGTCAGCTCACTATTTTGTTGTCGATGACCACAAACAAACTTTAAGTGTGATGTTTGATAATATGGGGCAAAGTTTTATTGGCAAAATTTCTGCTGACCATACGATTACTGTTGCTGCCTTTCCATTCTGCAGTGTTTTTGTGGGAGAGTAGATTTTGATATTCCATGCCTCACAGCTGAGCTCTGCCTTTTTTATTCCTCAGTGTTACTCTGTAGTTCTCCTCATCCTGTCCTCCTTCCATCTTCCTCAATCTGAATGCCTCTGTCTAAAACCTAAGTATATTTACATACAATAAATTACCACAACTTTTAATCAGGCTTTATATACATACACCAGTAACACATTTACTTTGATACACTTTCAGGGTTGTGTTATCTGAATGAATGAAAGCCCAATTTACTGCTTTATCTACTTTGTACAGCTTTGTTTAACGTTTTTGCAACTTTGTACTTTGTGCAGCTTTGCTTCACATGGATGCTGTGAGGGTGTGACCTGTGTGTATTTGAGTCCATTAGGTCATAAATGTTTTACATCATTATGTCTGTAATAGAAATGTTGGAAGCACATCGTTAACTCTGTATTTTAGGGATCAGCCTCATGTTTAATGCTGACCACACCCTCCCCTGAATGATGTCGCCTCAGTCGTGTCATGTGACTTTGATGATATGTTTCAAAGCTAACTTATTGACATTGCTTTGACTAGACTCAGAGTAGAATGAAGGCATTTATTTTAAATCATGGGCTAACAAAATGGGTATTAAATGCCCCGTATGATTGGAAAGGGAGTCATGATTTCCATGGCTGATAGCTTAATTTATGCCCAAAAAAGTTCAGTATGAAAAGATTGAAAGTACAATGGTAGAAAATTGCAAGGAGGTGAAGTGACAAGCTTTTCATTGGCACCTTTAGATTTAAGGAAGGAGTAAAATGCATTTTATGTCTTTTATTAATTGATGTAGCAATTAGTCACTAGCTTATCACCAGTTTGTAGGGGTTCTTAAAGGAACATGTAGCGCAAGAGAACTTGTTGGAGTGACTGAAATTTTCTCTTGCTTTATGCGTGCATAGCAATGTGGCACCCCTCTTCTCCAGCTGTTGCTGTGCACCAGAGGTCAGCCAGCTGAAAGAAGGTTACTTCTCTATTTTGTGAATAGAGAAAAAACTGATTTTGACTGTGTGGAAAAATTGGTGATGTGGGAACTAAGGAAATGCCACCTAGAGCTACATGATATTAGAAAATCTTGCACAGTTTTTTCTTTTTCTTTTTTTGTATTCCAAAACCTTTCTGGTACAACTTCACCGACTCCCAAGTTTCGGAGGAAAGTTCAAGGGCCTGTAAGGTGAAGACTTCAGCAACACTTGAAGTACTAAGGGTGCATTTACACCAGCCCTGTTTAGTCCATTTTACTTCAATTCTAGTTTGTTTGCCTAGAAAGTCCAGTTCGTTTTGAGAGGTGTGAATGCGTAATTGAACTCTGAAGCGGGCTAAAAAAGCAAACTTTGGTCCACCTAAAAACCTAGGTCTCATTTTGGTTAAAGTGAACTCTGGTGCAGACTGGAGACTACTCCAAAAGCAGGACCTGGACTACAGCGCAGGGCATTTTGGGTAAATACAACCAAGACAAATATATGACTCTAGCGCTAGCAGGAAAAATGACTGGTGGTCTTTTACCAAAGACAAAAGAGAAATCCTAGAACTGCTAAAATCTGACACCATTTTGTTTTTGTTTACATTTTGTGAAGAAGAAAGTTGTCTTCTTCAGAAGTTTTCCTGTCGTTTCAATCAGTG